GTAGGTATTACTAAATTGCCTTTTCAAATTATAGCATAAAATTATGGACAATAAGCCAGAACTCTTTCCTTTTATCCCCATTATGCTACTGCACAACTGTCATTCACTTCATTCCCCTTCAGTCTTTTCCACAAGAACCTATCACAGGCATTATGATTTTATAAGTTGGTGTTCTTTTGATCACTGAACATTACTTGGTAAAGGCATTTTCTTAATTCAGCATGATTCCTGAAGAATTTCAGTGTTTAATATTCATGAAGCAGAACTTTTTCCTTACTGAGGCTTACAAGAAAGGATTGCTTTGTTCTTTATAGATTGGCCCATCGTCAGCTAATACTCCACTTGTCTACATGAAATAACACCTAAGTGTTATGAGATAATACTGAGTATGCACAGAATTTCAAAAGAGGCAGAATAAGCTACAAATGAGTTTGAACTGATTATGTATAGAATTACTAACATGTAGCAACCAACACTTACCTTTTTTCCACAGCTGAACTCATGATGGTCCAATTGCCATGATAGGCCTGAGAGGAGAAAACCGACTGGCTCAAACTGTGGGAAAGGCAAGGCCTAATACACTCATTTATAGCATGGAGACTAAAAGAAACGGTATATAAAAGCCAGAAATCTCTCTCTGGAGAAATCTTTCACCCCTTTTTTGAATGTTGTCAGGTCTGCGAACATGTAACACGCTTGGGGACATATTTGACAGGTAAAATGGGGCAAGGCTGGTTTCCCAAGCAGAAATTTAAGCCTTGAATTTTGGTTCTGATTTTTTTTTTAAGATTTATTTATTTATTCATACAGAACTAGGATACAGGTCAGAAGTGGGGGGGTGAGAGATTTCACCCGAGACAGAGTAGAGAGCAGAAAAGGCAGATCAACAAAGTACACTGTTGAGGGGAGCAGTGGGTGGGTCAGGAGAGGTCTGCAGCACCATGTGGATCACCTCCGGGGTGGGGATTGAACTCATGCTGAAGTGGCTTTAGTTTCTTAGTGCTGTGCTTTAACCTGCTGCGCCACCAGGGAGGGCCTAGTCTTGATTCTTAAGTGATGTGCTGACTATTATAAAATGGGAGTTGAAAAGTCTTAGGACAATGATTCTCTGAAGGGGCAGTTTTCCACTGAGCATGGTTAGGGAAGTCTGGGGTGTAGCTACCAGGTGATCCTCTGTGAATCAAGGCCAGGACTGGCACTGGACACTGACTGCACAGCCCTCGACACAGAGTTGTCTGCCCACAGATGTTAACCCCAAAACTGAGAAAGCTTGGTCAGGACTGAAATTTCTGAGAGGCAAATTTCTGAGTATGTTGTTGTCTTTTCCAAGGTGTTTCTCTCTAAAGGGACTGCCAGGAAATTTGGATAAACCTATCTCCTTTAAATATTTGAATTCTAACTTGTAATCTTCCAGTAAACCCCCCCGCCCCCAGGAATAATCCACATTGCTATATGCAGCAACTGGCAAAAAATAGATCACTTGGCACAACTGTGGTGATTCACGATTTTAACATCTGTTCTCTGTAAATAAGAACCTTAGTTTACTACAAAAAAGAGTAAAAACTGTTTCTACCTAAAACCATGGATGATGTTCACACCCAGAACTGAAAGGGGAAGTAATCCACCGTGCCTAAGTCTGTCGCTGCACGTCCCAGTGCTTGCCATGGCTGGCACATAGCAGACACACGGACCCTCATGGGTCCCTCCTTTTCTTCATGTGAGCTCCAGATATCCTGCGTTGGGTAGGATGACTCTGGAGATTGTTAGAGTGACTTAGCTTCTCATAAAGCCTGTCGTGAGCATGAGAGGCAGCAAATTGTTCTTTGCTCTCTGCATCAGTTAAGTGAGATGCTGTGAAAGGCAGGCCATACCCAGTCAACTGTTTGAACATATTCCTCCTCAAGCACTAGACAACCTGCCTGACTGATTGTATTTCAAGTATTTAAGTCCTTGATTTTTTTTAACATATATATATTTTAAATAATAGGGATTTTTTTTACATCATTTTGTGCATTTTTTTATCTCAGTTGTAATCCCCTTGGGCTTCCCATCACCAGATCACCCATGTGCCATCACCATAGTCCAGTGCATTTCCCTCCCCCACTGTTTTTGATCCCATTCCCCACTCCACCCCATAAAATATCTCTGGTATATAGCTGTTCATTAGGTCCTTGATTATTTTAATGAATTGTATTAAGAATCAATAACTCCTGGATCTTGCAAAGCTATGACACATGCAACTGGGATTCCAGCAGCCAAATTTTGTATGGGAGTTTTCTGGGGTCAGGAAGCAAGCTGTATCTTGAGAATGGAAAGAAATGGTAGAAAGTCTCTCTGATGCAGCTTTAATCTGAGGATAAGGAATTCTCTCTGACGTTCCTCTGAAACATTTGCCTTCCCTCGTTGCGGCCACGCCACCTCTGGACCTGCTGTCACAGTCACAGCCATCAAAGACCAGACTTTGTCTCACACTCCCTCGAATGGATTAGTGTGCTCTGCTCGGCTTTCTGTGAGTTGAGAAGTATTTGCACAGAGACAGCAGGTGAAGTCCATCTTTTTGGGGACTTGTAGCACCTTCTTTGCTCTCACAGGGAATGGGGGTCACTGGGCATCTGTTTATCTGACCTCTCAGGCTTTCCCTTACACATTGTGGGACTGTGTTTGGGACCAAAATATCTTAAAGTAAGTTTGTACTTCTAGAAAACAGAACTCCATGAAGGTCCTTAATTATGCGACGCAAACATCCAGCCTCTTCAGGACAGAAGAGGTTGGGAAGTGTCTCTGACCAAACTCAGTCTCACTACTGTGTTTTCCTGCCAACTGTGCTCCCTTCTGCCTATGCTCACAGAGAAGGATGCTGAGACCTTTTATCAAGGAAGTGGCAAAGTATATCACCAAGTGGGAAAACATATATTTGAGTTATAGTTTATCTCCCTTTCCCAAAAGATTATATATGAAATGCCAAGGCAGAACACTTAAAATAAATGTCAAAAGGAAAATCCAGAAACCCTTAAGAAGAAAATGTTGACCCAGTGGCTAATAGCCAATGTTTGCTGGTTACATACCATCCATAATGTATAGTCTGAGGGATTTACACACATTTTCTCATACAAGTCTTACAATAGCTAAGTTACCTATATTTATTGGTGGGCAGATGGCAGCACCCACAGGTTAATACCTTTCCTGAGGTCACACAGCTAGTAAGTTGAACTGGGATTTGATTTCGGACAGTCTTGCTCAGAACCCATATGCTGACTAGGATGCTGCCTTCCAAACCCAGTGAGCCTGCTTTTCTGAGCTTTATTATTTAAACAAGAATAGTTGTAATTTCTCTATGTGGAAATGGAATGATCTCTTGAACAGTGATTGGACAGATTATAATATGAGTAACATTCTATAAAATGACAAAAATGATCAGTATCTGCTATTGTGTACAATGTCCACTTATGTTTTTCCAAATATTTCCCACACCCACCTCACTAAAAGGAGTTTGAATAACTCTTGACAAATACAGCTATGTAATTTGAAATCCAGATTTCCAAAAGTGGATAGTGAGAATAACTCCCCGTCAGCGACCCTGTTTTATTACATCTGTCACAGCCTGGAACGATCCTGTTTATATATTTATTTGCCTCTATAATGTTGACCTCCCCTGCTAGAGTGACAGCAAGGGTCTGTCTGCTGTCATCTTCTGTGACCTTAAGAACTTCACATAGAGTCTGGCATGGCAACAGCCCAAAACGATTTGTTGAATAAATTCATGAAGGAAAGAATCCCCAGAGAGAAAGTGCTCTGCCCAAGAACATAGCCTCAAGATCCTCCGGGTCATGTGGTGACCTCAGCTTACAAGGAGCCACTAATGCCTGTGAAGTTAGTTTCCTGCGGAGTTACTGGCAGAGAGACGTGGATCAGAGTTGTGGAGGCAGGGACTTGCCCCTTTTCCTTGGGTTTCGCTGGGGTTAAGTTCCGCAAGATTCACTTAATCTCCCTGAGCAGTGAGGACTCACCCTGGGCAGTCCATGGCAGAGAGAAAGGGGGGGGTGCCCATGCACCGCTGGCCCTGAGTATTCAAAGCTCTCTAAAGCTGCTTCGGGCCCAAGATGTGCTTTTCACCATCCATCACAGGCCTCAGCGCCCCGGGCTCCCTCTCCCAGGCCAGCTCACTCTTCCGGGAAGCAGGGCCTGGCTGAGCTCTGTGGCCCAGGAGCCCATTCAGGGCTTCCAGAGCTCACCGCCTGTGGCTTATTTACTTAAACTCTTTGTTCTTTTTCTTTGCTATGTTTTAAGTCTCTGCCCTGGCACAGGCCCCATTTTTGGCTCAGAAAGAGAAAACATTTATTTGGAAGGAATAGAGTAGGCCAGGACCTGTTAGTTCAGTGAAACTGAAACTATTTACTCCCATATTTTCTCTAATTAAAACTACAACTGCAACACTAATTCCATCATGATGTTTTTTCCAAACTTGGGAATTGCTCTTGGTGTTGGGGGTCACAGGTATGGGGCCACCCTGGTTATATCCCTGCCACACCAGGCCCCTTTTACTTCACCCAGGAGGAAGCTTGTACCTATCTATATCTGCCTGCTCTTTGGCCTGGGGTGCCCTCACCTCTGCCTTCCCATTTCATCTCAGCTTTCACTACCTGTGTGGGCCTATTGGAAAGTTCCAGGTCCTGTACTGTACCCCTTCTCTGCACTCCCAGGGTTTTAGTGCTTACTTACCTGTGACATCCATCTCTGTGCCTCTCTCCTCTACTAGTTCCTGGAAAGTGGGAACTGTGGCTCACCTGGCCAGCTGTTGCCCACATTCCTGGCATCAAGTCTGGCATATGGAGTAACCTCAGTGAATGTTGACGGAAATCAATTATGTTGCCAGTGGAATGTGATGCTGTCACTCTGGCTTTGTCTGCGCTGAAAACTCTGGGAGCACTGGAGACATTTTCAGGGACTGCATTTTAGAGCTTCTGAGAACGTCCTCTTTTGTTCTTTCATTTGCTTTTCAGGAACCTCTTTCTGGAACTGTAAAAAACAAAGGGAAGAATCATGTCCATGATTGCGGCCTACTATGGGAACAAGTCCATCCTCATCACTGGGGCCACTGGCTTCATGGGCAAGGTGCTGATGGAGAAGCTCCTGCGCACCAGCCCTGACCTGAAGGTCATCTACATCCTCATGAGGCCCAAGGCGGGCCAGACCCTGCAGCAGAGGATGCTTCAGATGCTAAATAGTAAGGTAAGTCTCCGGGAACATCCTCTGGGCCCTAGGACACACTGCAGTGTTCCCTCTTGAACTGCAAAGGGCAGAGTCGCGCACAGGCAACAAAGCAAGATAGTGGCCAGCTGCCCTGGGAAGGTGCTCAGGCTCTGTTCAGGGCAGGCAAGCAGATTGTCGAGGTTCTGGAGACTCCTGAGAAAGAATCAGTACCCTGAAAGGCCCAGATTACGCTCATCTACCCACCAACCCTCAGGAGTAATCCCAGCTTTGAAACCTATTCCAGTTCTTTCAGTGCTTCTCTAACATTCCTCTAACCTTAGGTAGATACTCTGTCATTTCATATTATTCTGTTATGTTCTACTCTCTATCCCTATTTTGTGCTACCTATAGAATATATCTGAGCACTCACTAACCATCCAGCACTAGCTTCAGTTGTCTAAACACCAGCAATATTAGCTGTTCTGTATTTGAGAGATGGTAACCTGCTATTTTTGTTATCCCATAAATCCTCCCAAGGTAAAAACATTGAAAAGGACAGACTCTGTGTGGATGAGTCCCACTTGCTCACTGAAAAAGTATTATACAGAACTTCTCACGATTTAATTTATAAATTTGGAGGTAATAGAGGCTTCGATCTGAAACCTAGCTGGACTCAAATTCTGTCTTTGTTTTCACTGTCCCTCTTAAGCTAATTGGCAACAAGTGAGACAGAAATGACAGCCGTGACCTCCAGGAATTTCAAGGATTTTCAAGTGAAAAATAGCACATGTCTGTTTAATCATGTACTTTGTAATGGATGGGGTCACTTAAGGTTGGGAAAGGACATTTTAAATGAGATTTTTTAAATAAGAATCTTTTCTCGTGTGTCACAATGCTGGCAACATTTAGGGACACGTAGCTCATTGGGGACATGCCCCCTCCCTGAGGAGCAGGTTCCCCGCAGGCCTGGGATGAGAGGCCTCTCTGGGTCTCATGGCCTGTTCTGACTCTGCTGACGGTTGTGGCACTTAATACACGCAGATGCTATTCCAGACACTACTCTCTTACCTCACTGAATTTTGCAACAACCCTGTCGAATGATACATCTCCTCCCTTTATAGGAAACCGAAACCTGTAGTATTAGTTTACCAGATGTCCCCCCGCTGTGAGACCCCACTGGCTCCAGGCAGTGTGCTGCCCTACGCTGAACCACCCACATTGCAGCAAGTGAAATCTAGAATATACTCACAGATCCTTTTCCAGACAGCTGTGCTCAGCTGAATGTCCCTGATGGACTTGCTTCCTTCACTTAGTAACCAGCTCGTGGGTTTCCAGGTAGATATCGTGCTGTACCCTGTACTGCAATCTCCACCTGCTGTTCCTTTCCATGCCTGGTATTGGACAGCCACAGCATCATTGCTCTTATGCTAGAATTCTTGATTGCTCTATGGAACTTTCTGGGAAAACAGCTTGCAGGTTCCTGCAGCCTGTCCTGGCACTGGGTATTAGTGCTAGCTGCTGCCATGCACCAACAGGGGTTTGCAGTTTGGCCCCTGACCAGCAGCTGCAACATCACCTGGGAACTACCTGCTGCTAGCACAGGAGGGTTAAGACCGGCTCCCAGACAGCAGAGCTGGGTGAATCACGGCAGCGCAATAACTGCCTTACTGAGCCCGCATTTCCTGGTCTGTGAAATGGGGTGACAATGGTGTGTGTCTCTGTCTCTCCCCCCCTCCCGATCCCAGTTCCTCTGTGATGCCATTAGGTATGGCTTTGACCAGTGTCTCCTGTGGCCTCACTTTTCACTGAGGTTTACGAATTAGAATTGATTTCTATAGACTGTTTTCCTCCATAAAATTTTCTCAAAGAACTGTGAGAGGAAATGAAGCTGTGGTGAGCATAACTAAAAACCATGTTCTTTGTGGTAAGTCACTGTGTCTGCATACCACTTTGCAAACTCTCTTCTTTTGTGCTTTTGTTGATTGAGTGCTTTAGACACGCAGGGAGTTTTGAGAAGTTTACACACTATGTCTGATTAATTTTTAGGCAAGATCTACTTCCTGTGCTACCACTTATAATTAAAAGTTGTATTAATAAGAAGAGTAGATTATTAAAATCTCTTAATTAAAAACAAACCTATATATATGCAAATATCTACTTTCTTAGCACTACACAGAAGTGGGTACCTGTAAAAAGATTTCCACGGGCAAAATGATCTGCTTTAGTTCACTTTTGGTTATTGCATGCCTGAAAAGCTTCCACAACACAACTCACATCTGACCTCTGACCTCAGAATATGACAATGCTATTGTTGATTTACGCAGTTAAAGCTCTGAGCAGATCAGGGACTACCTAATAATTAGGACCATCTAGGAGAGCTAGAAAATTCAAAATAAAACAAACTAAGGTTGTATTTTTTATTTATGTGAATGGATGATTTTTGAATGGCACAAGAGACCTCTAGGCTATATTAAAATTTTTACTTAAAGCTAAAGATTTTTGAATCAAAATAAGACTGTCTCCAGATATTTTCATTTACCTTAGTATCTAGAATCATTTAGATGACATTCCCATCTTTGGGGTTTATTTATTTATATTTACATTTGTTTAGCTCAGTTGTGCTATTCAGTATAGTAACTGTTAGCTGTGTGTGGCTCTTTATTTTTTTTAAAGATTTTTTTTATTTTTACATACAGAACTGGCATACAGGCCAGAGGGGCAGGGGTGGCGAGAGGACTCACCAGAGACAGAGTGGGGAACAGAACAGACAGACTGATGAAGTACTGAGGGGAGCAGTGGGCGGGTCAGAAGAAGTCTGCTGTGCCATATGGGTCACCTCTGGGATGGAGATGAAACTCTCATTGAAGCATCTGCGGCCAGCTTGCAGTGCTGCATCCTAACCCATTGCACCACCAGGGAGGGCCCTGTGTGTGGTTCTTTAAACACAAAATAATTACAAACACAAGACCTAAAATTCAGTTCCTCAGTCTACTGGCCACGCTTAAGTGCTCAGTAGCCACCTGTGCTGAGGATTGCTCTCTGTGGGACCAGCAAGCACAGAGCATCTCCATTAGCACAGATCAGCCCCTCCCTGGTTGTGATTTGGATCTCCATGCTGATCACCATTTTCATTAATTCTGCGAACACTGCAGTACCTCCTTAGCATTAAGCATACAAAGGCTATAAAGACAAGCAGTGACTTGGCCAAGTCAAGTGGTAATGACAGTCATGTCAAGCACGATCACAATGCAGCAAGTTCGCCAGGGACAGGAGAGCCAACGGCCATGTTCACAGAAAAAAAATCACACTGACTAATGCAAGAATGAGTTGGTGTATTTGGAAACTCTGGGGGTCCTTTGGCCCCAAACAAATGAAATTAAGTATTAGAAAGGTATTTTGAGGCCTCAAAGAGTATAAATCATTTTGTATCAGATGAAAGTAAACCCAGTTGAAACTGACTTGAAATACAAAGATAGCTTATTGATCACAAAGAGGAAAAATCCAGCAGTGAGCAGCAGGACTCAGCTCTGCCAGCTTGATCCCAGCTGTAAGATCCTTGTGTATATATGTATTTGACTATCTCTGGATGAGGAGAGATGGCTCTGCCTGAAGCTGTCACTCAGGATCCGTGAGCCCTGTTTTCTGGAAACTCAGCAAATGTCCTCTCCTTTCCACAACCTGGGTGAGGCAATGTGTCCAGTTCTGAACCACGCACTGTGGCCTGAGGTGTGCCATGTACAATTTGTTGGAGGACATCAGGTCTGAACTAACCCTGGCCAGGAGGAAGAGTGCACTTGGATCGATAGGCCTTTGCCTGGAGCGGGGATGCAGTCATTTTCTCCAGGGGTGCAGCGGCCCTGTGAGCTAACAACCACATCTGAATGCCTTTCAGATAACTTAGTCAGAGACACAGGGATGGGTGTGAAAAAAGAACGTAGTCTCGGGTCAGACAAACCAGAGCTGGGGTCTCCTCTACCCCAAGCCGTGTGCCTTCACATCCTCAGCTTCGGTTTATGAGTGTGACGCTTGTAGTCGCTGCCTTCTGCACTGTGAGTGGTGAGTGAGTTCTCCCTGGCATCCCCCTGTTAAGGGCTTAGAAATAGCAGTTTTTACTGTTACTTTGGAACAGGGGAGTCCTACCTCTATCTTTTAGGGTATGGACCTCCAATGGAAGGTTTTGTTTTGTTTTGTTTTGTTTTTTGTCCTCTGACAGCTGGATGGTACCTATCATTTAAATAATAATAATAAAGTTGTACTCAAGCAATCTGATTGATGATGGGAAGTGTTTTGGTGAGAACTGTGATGAGTTTATTGTAATTGCAACAGAAGCTATACTGTCTGACCCTTTACAGTAGTTGCTCACCAACTGTTGGAACAACAGCTCAGAAACCATCCCTTTTACTACAAAAAGAAGCCTGCCCATTATCTTATCTACCACCTTTTAAAACTTAAACCTCACATTTTGTCTGTTTAAAATCTAGATCAGCAACTTAGTGTTTAGCCTCCCGCTTTATCTTTTCTGGCAGATTGTGTTATAGCTTGCTTGCTTTATTTGTTGTTATTATTTTAAATTTTTATGCTGACTGCCTAGGTGCCCCCAGGCAAGCATGGGGTGGTGGCAGAGATGCTGCTGTGTTATAGGGGAGGGAGGAGAAGGATAAAGAGGGAGTCGTGGTGAGGGAGACTCTCTCTGTGGCCCACTATTATCCCTTCTCTTTTGGGTCTCTGGTCTGAGGCCTGGCTGTTTATGGGCTGTCAGCATGCATCACTGTCAGCAGAGAACGGGTGTAGAGGAGGGGGGTGTAGGCTTGAGCATTTTCTCTGGGAAAAAGAGCATCTTCTCATTTTCTCTGGGGTCCCAGCCAGTGGGCAGCACCTCAGCTTCTCCACTTTAGTCTCCTGTCCATGAACGTGGACTTCCCCACCACCTTTGCTCTCGCATTTCCAGAGCCTTTGGTTGGAAGGACCACCCTGCTTTTTCTGCTGTTGTCCTTCTCCAGTCACCTCCTGTCACACAGATCTTTGGTTCTTTCCTGTGACCTTTCTAATGTAGCCTCTATTGGTGTCCGTGGAGAGGGGCTGCCCAAGTAGTTAAGAGCTGTTCCTCTCATGAGGTAGCACAAAGCAAGGAAGCACCTGTGTCGCCATCTTGGTGATGTCACTCCCAGCATTTCTCAACAGTCATACCAATAAGGCATGAATTCTAACTCACCTTAAATAATTCTATGCTCCTAAAAGTAAATTTCATTGTTCAGGGATGAGGCTTGGAAATTTTTCTTTAAAACATAATAAGCCATAATATTAGCAGTGTGCCTTTGGTTCCAGTGTGCCATGTCTGGAGGAAATATGGTTCTACCCCTTCTATAAGTCAAGTGTCTGCTTCATTCCTTGTCTTTCAGGGGCTGGGCAACAACCAGCTCTCACTGCCTAGTTACATACTTTCAGAGGGAGGTGATTACATGGGAGATGCTTTGAAAAGAAAGTTACTTTTAATCCAGAGGTCACATCAAACTGGGGTTCAGACTCAAAAGAAAGTTTCATTTCATAGGTATTTTCAAAGCACTTAATGGAACATATTAGTGGAGCAAAGCTATTTGAATTAATGGCAGATTCTTGAGAACTTTCTCGCAACGATAATTAAAGTCACTTGAATAAAACAAGTAGAGATACACACAAATAAAGTAGTAAAATATTTATTGTACTATTATTTGTAGTTCAGGAGCTGGCTTGAATGTTCCACAGTGAAGGAGTGAGGAAATACACAGTGATGCATATCTATATTTAATATTTTTAGCTAATTAGTTTCAATGCCTGCATACTAGCCCAATACCTGTATGCATCATTGTAAATTTTATTATTTAAATATGAGAAAATGTTTGTAATCTTTTTTTAAAAGACAAAGCTATATGCAGGATCATCTCAATTAATAGTCTTAAATGATGATAGAATCTGAATTTCTTTTTATACTTTGAAATTTTCACACTGCCATTACAGTGAGCATGTCTATTTAACTTACGGTAAGTAAAAAAGCACCCTATTTCAGAGTGAAAACATAAGAGCTGTAATCTTTTTCTAAAAATCTTCCAAATAAAATTGCAATGAATAGTTTCACTTTTACAGTGAGGTGAGAACACCCCTTTTTACAGTAGTAAATAAGGCAGCAAAACCTCATGAGTTTCTAATATTGTATTATCAATATGCATTCCATTGATTTTTAGTTTTGAAGCTATTTATAATACTTAAATTATTTTTATAAAAATTAATTTTATTAGAAATATTCCGAGTATCTGACATTGTTTCTTTTTTTAAAAAAGAAAAATCTCTTTAAAAAAAAATCTCTTTGGGGATAGGGCTTCCCTGATGGCACAGGGGTTAAAGTCTCAGCTCTACCAAGCTATCACCAGCCACTGTAGCATGAGACATGAGTTCCATCCACAGCCAGGGAGTTGATCCACAATGACCTGCCTTTTGCTCCCCTCAGCAGTGTATTTCAGTAGATCCATCTGTTCCGCTCCCCACTCTCTCTCTGGTGAATCCTCTTACCCTCCATACTTCTGCTTACACCCTAGTTCTTGTATGCATAAAATAAAATAATCTTAAAGATAAAAATCTTTTTTTCCACAAAACCTGTGAGCTGAAAAGGAAAATAAGATCGATTTCTTAGGCTGAAATATGAACACACTTATCACACACCCACTGTTCATCTCAGGTCCCCAGCCTTCCTAAGCTGGAAACTTTCATTATGAAATGTGTGCTCATTTAATTGGGAGTCAGTCACCTTTCATCATCAAAACATTTAAATGGATCATTTTCTCTTGAATATGGCTTTGCTTTACAAGACACAACTTACCCTCTGTAGTAGGCAGTAAGTAGCAAATAAATCATCCAGTTGTAAAGTTCCAAGAAATGTTGAGAACATTTTGGCAGAGCATTTTACCTTAAAGATGTATTTCTTTTTACTACAGCCACATCCCATTTATATCAATATAGAATCTTAACTGTAAAAAGTTAAGTGTAATCTACTCTGGATAACTCTGTAAGGAAATGTCAAGAAGACAGTATCTATACCTGAAAAATAAAACCCCAAATTGAGGTAATTACCTAAGGGTGATTGCGAGGCCAGCATCTAAAACATGTCTCTTTGAGGGAATATCAATAACAGTCTGGTTGTTCCTATTAATGTAGTAATCAGATAGGAGAAGGGGGACAGTGAGATCAGTCTGGATTTAGAATGCGTCATCTGAGAAGATTGGGCAAAATTCAGGGTTTACATCCAGGAACGCTCCCTTATGATGTCACTGGGAAGTGGATTTATGAAAAAAGACAGAACTTGGCAAGTTGTACTGAAAATCTCAAGTGACCCTATCTGGAAAAATGTGAAGTAGTTCATAAACCCTGAGTTTCCCCTGACAGATCAATTTTGAAATACCTAGTCTCTATTCAGTAAGTGTTTCTGACAGTCATTAGACCCAGCTACAGAATGTATTGAGAAAGCTGCCTGAGACGCCTATCAAACCTCCAGAGTGAGTCAGGGTCTCATAGAGGACTGAGGAAATTGTGTTTGACCGGTCCCCAGATTTTTCTTATATTCATACAATTTGGAAACCACAACCAAAGGGAAGCGGGCCCCATGCAGTTGCTCATCAGCAATTCTCCACATTAATATTCCAACTCAAGAATTTCTTGTTATCAGTTAGAATCAGTTAGGGAAAGGCAAAGTCCTGGGTATGCCCCAGAAACTTCTTGCTCAGTGGGCATGATATTGTCCTGGGAATACACACTTTTCATCTGCCTGCCAGGGATTCCAGTGCAGTTGACTCTTTGAAGAGCACTGGGCCATGGATGGCTTTTGAGAATCTCAAGAGCATTGCTTTGTGAGAAGCCTTAGAAGTAGGTGATACTCAAACAGAGTAAGTGAGAATATTGGGCAGAGGTGATACCATGAAAGGGGACCCTCCTTAAGCACCGGGGTTTGAATTCAGACATCCAGTGCCTTGATTCATCTTGACCAATGCAGTCAGCTACTCCCTGGATCAGAAGACTCTGACTCTGTCTCAGCTGTAGTGTACTTACTCAGAAATACTCTTGATTTGAAAGTGCAAATCAAGAAACAGACTACAGATTGGGACATTATTTCCTAGAATAGGAGTGAGTTCCTGAAACAGTAATGCTATAAGTTGGCTCCTTTGCTGTGGGAGAGGCCAGAGAAAATCCTAACCTCACAGCTCTCGCTTGGAACCTCATTGCCACTAGAGTGAACCCGGACATCACCCCCACTTCTTGCTCCCAAGCAGCCAGAATTCCCATAGACCAGAGTCAGAGGCATCACAAACTTTGAGTAAATTTCCAGTGAATAAAATATCATGCAGGCTCAATAAAGAGCCACCGACAAATTCAGTTACTTGAAAAGGGGAAAATTGCACCAATCTTAAATGAACTTACCCGACAACCTCACATGCATATTTGTTATACAGCTAATGTGAAGGACAACTCTTGGCTGACAGCCAGCATTTAGCATGTGCTCCACCAGGATAAGAGCTGCTAGCTGGGTCCTGCTGAATAAGAAAGACCTTATCAATCCTGATGTCAAAAAAAGCATTAAGGATTGATGGGATATGTTCAGAATGGCAGTAATGCCCCGCTGAGAAGGCTGGCCACAGAGTAGAAAGATGGTAGCTCAGCAGTCAGGGACAGTGACTTCCTCAGATGGCTCTGAACGTGTCCCTCTCTGACAAGTGGACTTGATTTCTCTAATGTCCTGGCTGCAGTTCTATGGATGCGAAGCACTTTGTTGGCGTTAAAGGCAAGAAGACCCTCTTTGCTGCTTACTGTATTAAAACCATAAATTTAGAACCAAAGATTAGTTTTCTCTGCTCTTAGCCTTTCTAAACCTTCAGACTTATATTTCTTCACTGTTGACATTAGATGCCAGTACTACAGTAAATAGGTTTTCATAAAATAGTTTGGGATACAGGCCATTTTATTAAAATCACACTTTAAGAGAAAATGGAAAAATAACAATTTAATCTAAGAATTTATGTGTGGAGAGGAAAGTACAGATACTGTTGCATCTGAATAATTGTAATAGAAGCTAAAACTTCCAGTACTTTTTTTCCCCTTTCCCTTTTAGAAATAAAAATGTTTTAAAAATGCAATTAAAATCCTATGAAAGGTACTTGTTCTTGTCTAATTTCTTTACTGGAAGGTAACTTCCATTTATATTAGAATGACATAAAATTTTTATTTATTTTTCCCACAAACTTGCCTCATTTCTCATTTTCTAATTGTATGTTGGTGCTCCTTAGATATCTGGGCTAGTTGGCGAAATAGTCTTGAATGAGACCTCTTTTGTAAAGGATGATGATCTTGTTGGTAATTTGTAAAGGCAGGTAATTTTGCACTGAAAACAGTGTTTGCCTGCCCACATACAAACTGCCTTCCAGAAGCAGGATATGGGTAGTGTGCTCTCCTTCACCCCCCAGGGAAGTTCAGACTCCTCTCTGCTGATGGGAACTGTTTCAAATGTCTCTCCAAGTAAGAGGAGCCAAAATTGGACTAAGCTGACTTTGAATTACACGAAATGAAGCAAATATGTCTTGATCAGATGCTGCCTTTGAGTGTTCCTATTATAACTAAAATCGGGTTTTGAGAATTAGAATTCAATCCATGCGCACAGTCGCGAATGATGTGAGAGTAAGGATCTCTGTAACTGGACTCATTAATCTTTCAGCTATTTGAAAAAGTCAAAGAGGTTTGTCCAAATGTGCATGAGAAGATCAGACCTATCTATGCCGACCTCGATCAGAGTGACTTCGCTATCCACAAGGAGGACATGCAGGAGCTACTGTCCTGCACCAACATCGTCTTTCACTGCGCCGCCACCGTGCGCTTCGACGACCCTCTGAGGTACCTCCCCTTTGCGCGGGGGCTGGTGTGTGTGCGCATGTGTGACATCAGTTGCTTTATGGTTTCTGTTAACCAAAAAGGTATTTTGCTCTGAGAAGAAAGAAAAAAGTAAAACTTTTCCAAAATCTTATCATCCTGAAATATTCTGTTAATATCAATGGAAATGTCCTGTCCACTTTCCTTTTCATTCATAAATATATTTATACTATTTATACTATTTTATTCATAAATAGATTTTTATATTTATAAATAGATTTATACTTAATTTTGCCAAAAGAGGGCATCCTATTGAGAATGATTTTTTGCAGGCTGCGCAATTATAGAATTGGCTTTTATTGTCGATAATCACTGTTATCCTATTATAAGTGTATATAATATGCTCATTTCTGTATTGGAGGACTTTTGTGGGTTGTTCTAATTTTTCATGATTATAAACAACTCTGCAGTGAACATCTGTGGGTGTATTATATATATGTGTGTGTGTGTGTGTGTGTGTGTGTGTGTGTGTGTGTGTGTGTGTGTGTATTATACCATTGTGTCCTTTCCTTTGGGTAAATGCCCAGGAGTGTTAGGTGCCCAGCTATGAGCAGTTATGCCACAGAATGCCAGGTTCCCCGCAGTGCTCTAATTCCACTGTTCTCTGCACAGACAGCTCATTGCTGACACCACAACTGTCCTCAGGTACTAGCTTTAGTTCTTAGTCACCATTATGGTCACAGAAACAGTATTGCAAGTTTTGATTTTTATTCCCTTGCCTATTTAGAAAAGTTGTAGGTAGATGTTTGGCTTTTTAATTTATTTTTTTGTGTGTGGAATGCTCCTTCATGTCCTTTGCCTATTTTTCTAATAAAACATTGTTATCAATGTTAATTGACATTTATTGGAAGAATTAGCATGTTAACAGCCTTTATAATAAGGTGCAAAATAGTTTATCATTTGTTCTCAATTTTTATTTTTTATGCAGTCATTCATGATTTCATCTAGTGTTTACTTAACTTTCATATTCAAATATTTGACTCATTGAAAATTTGTGTTGCTATAAAGAAGAATAGTCAAGGAAATGTTATAAAAGGAAGCATGCTATAGCTGTGAAAGTATAGTAGCCTTTTTAAGGTTTCTAACAGATGGTTCCTTCTTCAACAACGTTTATTGAATGGTTTATTTTCATTCCTCATTGAAATGTAACTCTTAAACTAAAGTACCATTTTTTAACTCTTAATTTTGTTCTGGTAAGTAAGTGGAAAAGATTTTCTCTTCTAGTGCCACAGTATTTTAATTAGTGTCATTTAATTTTATTATTAAAGTATAATTAGCATTTTTTTAAGATTTATGTATTTATACATACAGAGCTGGGGTACTAGCCAGACGTGCAGGGGCAGTGAGAGGATTCACCAGAGTGGGGAGCAGAACAGGTGGACTGACGAAGTACACTGTTGAGGAGAGCAGTGGGTGGGTCAGGAGAGGTCTGCTGTGCCATGTGGGTCACCTCTGAGGTGGGAATCAAGCTCACGCTGAAGTAGTTTTAGTGTCTCCGTGATGTGCTTTTAAACTACTGCACCACCAGGGAGGGAATAATCATCATAATTAATAGAATCTTGTTGACCATTCTGACCTGCTTGTATATATTAATTAAACATAGGGAAATTTTGCCAGGTGGGGAGTTTGATTCATTTCACCTAATCATTAATAGATTAATTTAGAAAAACTTAGTATTTTTAAACATTGGTTCTTCCTATTGAAGAACAACTAATGTTTTTCTATTCCTCTTCTGTTATGACTTTCATTTGGGTTTTACCATTTTCCTTATATAGTTCCTGGTCACTTATGATTTATTTAATGTAGGTTTTACATGTTTCATTTTGAGTATGTATGCTTTTTTCCCATCATATCCTGTTTTTTTCTAGGAAAGCTAGTGATTTTCTCTCTGTAACTTTGAGAAATGGAAACCCTGCTAAATTTGTTTGTTTGTTTTAGCTGATTATTTTTATTTTCTAGATCTACAGAAAAGTCTTTAGTGATTTTGCTGACACTTCCCAGACTGGGGATGTCCCATCCCTCTTTTGCCAGCTCTCTCATCTGCAAGGCTGACCCCGCCTGCACCCCAGCTATCAAAGCTCTGCTTCCAATTTCTCATCGTCAACCAGGGTGCAGGCTGGCCAATAGAGATCTGGGCTGTTAATTCATTTCGTTCATTTCTTTTCAGCGAAATTTTTGAAATTACGTTGATTTGGATATTGAATGTTCTTTTTAAAATTTCAAAATTGAATAGAGGAAAAGAAAGTTTTTTCTCATTTCATCATTTCTTGCTTTGTGTTCTGTTTTCAAAAGTTAGAATTTTGATTTCAGCTTTCATGTCTGACCTGCCCCTTCTCCATGGAAACTTACATTTCCCTCTCTGTAGGCACTCTCTGCAGTTGCTCACCTCCAGTTTATTTGAATTTTCCACCTTCTTGTGTGCAAGGGTTCTTTTGTGTATTTCTAGGCTTTTCACGGCTGCTGTAGGAGCCCGTTCACATATGCAGGAGGTGGTGGTTTTTTCCTTCCCATTGATTTGGAACCAAGTGACTGCTAGCGGCAGGGAAGCTCCTGGCCATGTTGATCCCAGGAACAGCCACATCCAGCAGGGCAGAGACTAACTGACCTCCTTGTCTTTCCTTCCACAGACATGCTGTTCAGCTGAATGTGACGGCCACGCAGCAGCTCTTGCTCATGGCCAGCCAGATGCCAAAGCTCGAGGTCTTCGTACACATCTCCACTGCCTTTTCCAACTGTAACCTGAAACACATCGACGAAGTCATCTACCCCTGCCAGGTGGAGCCCAAGAAAATCATCGACTCCATGCAGTGAGTTGGGTCCATGAGGGGCAAGAGGCAGCTTGTTGATTTCTTTGCTTCTTGGAAGCCGTCAGTGATGCAATCACAGAGTCGGATGCCCTTGAACAACCTGCTGCGGGAAGGTGCTCTTTTGCTGCCCGGTGTCTGTTCCCATCATCCCCGCAGGGACAATAGTGGTTGGGACTGGACTAATCAGGATAGGATAGTCCCACAGTCTTGAGAGTTTAAGATTGTGCAGGGTAGGTGGGAAGACTTCATGGAGGCGTGGCTCCTCATTTCCTGATGAACTCAGTGTTGTCAGGCTGGCATGAGTTTGACAGAGGGCTTAGCAACCTACTCATTGTGTGATCTTGTATTAGTTCCTTGGCTTCCCTGAACCGCCATTCCTTCATTTGTAAAATGGGGTTTAAAATAGTGCCCACCCACAGGGATTACAACTGAGATGGGAAAAGGCACAAAATGATGTAAAAATAAGCTATTATATTATTTTTTAAAAATAGTGTCCATCACACCACTGTGATGATACAATGAGATAGGTAACATAGTAATTACAGTGCTGGGGGTGTTTAATAGTTGTCAATCAAAGGGTGAGTAAAGGAGAACTAATAAAGAGGAGAGAATCCCTCTGTCTGGTTGAAGATGTGAGCCGGAGAAATCGTGTCTTGGTGTTCCTTTTCTTGCCAACTCACTGCAACCACATGTCCCTGCTCTCAGAATTCTAAATTGCTTCTGTCTTGATTGTCCTTCTCCACTTACCAAGTTGATCTTGATGTTATTGTTCTAAACCCTGCATGAAAAGTGCTATAGAATAGAGATTTTCCCAGTGAACATGTCAGATTTTAATTTCACATACTGTACTTCTATTTAAGATATCATTTTAAAAATGAAGCTAACTAAGAGCTCATTCCCTTTTAGGGCATTTTTATTTCCTACAGCTCTGAGAATAGATATTTTTACTTGTCACTTAAAAATTTCCAGGACAGGACCTCCCTGGTGGAAAAAGGGGTTAAGTCTCAGCACTATGAAGTTGTCCTTAGCCACCGCAGCACAAGTTCCATCCCCAGCCAGGGAGGTGACGCCCATGGCACAGCAGACTTCTCCTGTCTCATCCGCTGCTCCCCTCAGCAGTGTATTTATTTCAGTCCGACTTTCTGCTCCCTACTCTTTGGTGAATCTTCTCAACAACCCTCCTCCCATATCTCTGGCCTACACCCCAGCTCTTGTGTGCATAAATAAATAAGTTGTTTTTTTTTTTAAGTATCCAGGACAAAGAAGGAAAGTCATCCAAAAGAGCTGGATTTACTGACAAGTCGCTAATAAACAATCATTTGCTTAATTGGTGCAAAGGGAACTTCAGAATCCCAAGATACTCAGGACAGTTGAAGACACTCTGGTCCAAGTCGGGCACCTCCTGGGCAGGAACAGCTGCAGCCAAGGTCGAGGACTTGCTCACTGTGAACGCCTCCCTCATAGACAGGTAGACAGGCAGGCAGCAGAGGAACTTGAAGGTTGAGCACACATAGGAATGAAGCTCAGTGTCCCTTAGAGGTCTGCTTCTCCGGGCACTCCATACCGTGCCTCCCTCCCTCTCTGTCCAGAGCTCCAGGCCCACAAGAAAAGGGAGGACCTGGAGTATGACCTGTGCCAGACTGTGGCTGACCAGGGCGACTCTGTCATTTCTGGCTCTGCCAGGGAAGCATTAAATACATAATCAAATTGAATGACAGGTGGAAGTGCAGTTTCTCTCAATCAAATATGCTGGGAATGCAGCTGAGGAACCACAGTGTTTGTGAATGGGACAGCCAGCCATGCTCATTCGCTCATGAGTGTGTTGCAGGGCTCCTGTCTCCACAGCCCCTGGTGTGGCAGCATGTCCTTCTGGCCCAGAATTCACATGTTCTACCTTTGCCTTGATGCCACGCTCTCTGGACATGCCGCCCTCCTGGCACTCCTGGTGGATTCCCACTCAGACACCACTCAGACTAGTTGCGGAAGTCCTAGTCCAGGGCTGCCTCGCCTGGTGTCCCCACAGTGCCCTGTGCTTGCCCTTTCTGGAGAGCAGGACACCCCATCATTCTAAAGATCCAAGCTTTATTCTGTGCACCCCAGCCACCATGAACCCCTTGGAGGAGACAGGTGCTCCTGCACCTCATCTCTGTTCAGGGCCAGCCCGCAGCAGGATTCAAGTATCTGCTGAATGAGTAGCAAGTTTTGGTGGCAGTAGATCACCATTAATGGTCAGGCGCTTTTGTTCTTTTTCTTTATTTTGCAAAAGAAAAGATGACAGAAATTCATAGCTAGCTGTTAACTAGAGCTGTAAAGCGTCCATTGTAAAAACCCACATGTGGGCCCTCCCCGGTGGCGCAGCAGGTCAGGATGCAGCACTGCAAACTATTTGCAGCTGCTTCAGTGTAAGTTCAATCCCCAGCCCTGGAGGTGACCCACATGGCACAACAGACCTCTCTTGTTTCACCTGCTCCCTTCATCGATCTGCCTGTTCTGCTCCCCAATCTGTCTCTGGTGAATCCTCTCATTGTCCCTGCACCTCTGGCCTGTACCCCAGTTCTGTATGCATAAATAAATACATCTTTAAAAAAAAATCATATGCTCACAATTTATCCCACTCTCTGACTGCCTTTTTTTACCTCTCTCATTAAACTTCAAATAAAACCTACTTGTTATGTTTTTTTAAAAAAGATTTATTTACTTATGCATACAAGAACTGGGGTACAGGCCAGAGTGAGAGGATTCACCAAAGTGGGGAGCAGAACAGGCAGATTGACAGAAATACACTGCTGAGGGGAGCAGTGGGTGGGACAGGAGAGGTCTGCCATGCCATGAGAGTCACCTCCCAGGCTGGGGATTGAACTTGTGCTGCAGTAACTGTGGAACTCTTCATAGTGCTTTGCTTTAACCCATTGCACCACCAGGGAGAGCTCCCTACCTGTTAAGTTTTAAATAATTCTTTGAATAAAGTCCAGCAGACCCTTACCAGTTCCACCAGCTTTTTTAGCAATCTCTTATCTGAGGTAATGTATCACAAGCTTAAGAATGACATTAAGGTTATTCTGAGTCAATATTCATTCAGCTCAGTTCAGATTTAGGTGGCTTGTTTTAAGAAAGTATTTCTCACTGATTCTTCTTCATGCTGCGTTTGACCTGCAGTTGAATAATAAATTATTCCCCATGACTTAGATTTTTATTTCCCTTGGGGATACTTTTTAATTTTTTTTTAATTTTATATCTTTTTATATCATTCTTCATTTGTAGCCCCCATGGAATTCCCACCACCAATTCATCTGTGTACTATCACCATAGTCCCTTCTGCTCTTCCCCTTGGGGATTTTTATTAAACAGGAACCCCCAGGGTGGCACCTTATGGCTCATTGTTCTTAGTATCTCAGTGATTCTCAAATTTTAAAGAAGAGCCAGAGGTTAGGCAACAAAATACTCTTGAAGTTGTGTTCTGGGATTCATGATCTCCAAGCACCCATCCTCATGGATGTGTTAATTAACTTCAGAAGGGGAGTGTCCCCTTACCTTCGGTCCATAGAACAAATCACCATGAGGTATGCTTCAGCTAACGCACAGTTCTGCTTGTCGGCTATACCTCAGTCAAGCAGAGAGAAAGAATCTTAAGAAAAAAGGAATCACCCATGGAAAAGTGAAATGAAACTTTCTTTTTCCAGAAAACCAGTTGGATGGGAATTCCAGGGGGACTGAATTAAAATAAAATGAAAGGTGCACTGTAAAATAAAAGATGCACTGCCCTTTTTGCCAGAAACTTTCCCAGTTGCATAGGTGTGAGGTAATTTTAAAAAAAAAGAATATGTCGCCCTGGCCCCTGGTTCCTGGCACAAAGCAGTAAGGCCTGTACATCCCAAGTGAGAGAAGCATCTCCTGTTCTAGCGAGAGTCTCTCTGGGGTACCAAGACGGACTGCTCCCCAGAAAGAATGAACCATGCTTATAAGGCTGAAACTTTCATTACCACCTCCCAACTCCCAGATGTGTGAGCATGTCCACATGGGGGTGCAAGTCACCCCAGCTCCACAGAGAAAGAAATTCCTGCATTCAGGACCCTCCCAGATCTTACCCTGTGTCCCTTTTGTGTGGATAATCATCTGTATCCTATATCCTGTCCTTTCTCAGACTTATTCTTTGAGTTCTGTGAGCTGACCTAGCATATTCATCAAACCCAAGGGGGGAGGCTCTGGAACCTTCCACCTATAGCCTATTGTTCTGAAGCACTGGTGACAACCTGGGCTGGTAACTGGCATCCAAGGTTGTTCTTGTGGGACCAGAGCCCCCAGCCTATGCGATCCGGTACATCTCTGGGCTGATAGTGTTGGAAACAGGTCTCAACTATAGGCAGCCAGCCGATGGCACCAAGAATTGTTGTGTGTGGTGGTGGGGGGGAAGTCTGTACATTTGGGGACCAGAGGTGAAGCATTTTATTTGAGTAGCCAGGGATTCTCACAGGGTTGAAGCACAATAGTGAGAAACTGGATTTCTCCATACAGGAGAGGAAAAAGCTGAAGCTCCTCCTTTATAGTAGGCCCACATGCCCCTGCTCAGTGCTGTTAATAAAGGAAATGCAGCTGTGACCCTAACCCCCAAACCTGCTCCCTACCCCTCCTCTCAGGAAAAGCCCCCTCCTTCCTTGCTCAGCCCACCCCACCTTTTGTGCACCCAGACCTTAATCATCCCTTCAGGTCCTAACTCAAAACTAGCTGGATTACCTGGTTCCATCATCCCTGCAAGGTGTGGGCACGCAGGCTGAAACACATTCACACAAGCACGCAAATAGTAATAACTTGGCGCTTGTCAGGTGTGGCTGGCATGGCCGCCAGCCCCTGATCATTATTCATTCTCCTAACTCTTGACCGTGCCCTGGTCTTGTGCCTCATCCCCACCACTACAGACAGCTTGCCGTGTCACCTGTCACCCTGTCACTGTCCTTACTCCTCAGCTTCCACCATTGGTGATGCCTCTTGTGCAGAAATGAACTGGGGATTGCTTGTGAGCTTCTCAGAATAGCAGTTTGAGTAGCATGAACCAGAAAAGGACACAGCCAGACAAGAGAAGGGAGAGAGAAGTGAGGCAGCAAGTCCAGTCCTGACTCTCAGTAGGCTTCTCACTGAGGTGTAAGAATGAGGTGGGAAAGACATCTTCCTCTTACTACTTTATCTAGTAAATGTGTCTGTTATGGATTGCTGATGAACTCAGGAGACTGAGTCAATGATTTTCAAAAAGAGAATCACCTGTTAGGGAACTTTGTATGTGTGTGTTACCTTTGGAAATTTTCAATAACCTTATGTCTCTTTGGAAGTCATTTGACTACAAATCTAGATTTGGGGTCACCTGGTTTCAAGCATCTTCTTAAGTTACACTGAAGGGCACGGCTACTTTCAGAAGTACATTTTAGTATCCAGGTTGTCTTTTCCATGTCAAAATGACACTGAATAACAACAAAGTAAATTTGGTGTCCCAAAGAGGCCTCCCTTACTCTGTGGACATGTGCCCCCACCCTGACCTGGAGCCTGGGGAGTAGTGGACGAGGTGGCAGGTCCTCTGGCTGTAGCAGAAAAGAGACTTATTCCGTGCTGGGGCCTTTGCTTCTGAGAGGTTTTGCTAACTAGAGGAGCACCTTGGGCACTGGCACATTTAGTCATAATAACTTGCCGTGCATGTCCGCTTAGTGCTGTTGATGCTACGATAACCTGAACACATAAAATAGATGTAATTGTTGCTATTTTTCACAAGCGTAAAAGTAGGAGGAAAAAGTGTAAGATGTAAGACAGGAGACTCTGGGGAGCTAAGGATCGCAGGGCAGCCACCTATGACACCACCTCCCCTTTGTTGTATCCTTATAAATCTGTGAGCAGAAAGAAAAAAAAGAAAGAAAGAAAATAGAAAAAGAAAGAAAGCTGTAAGCCCAATATTTCCTAAGGGAAGCTGATATAGCAGGCACTGTCAGGTGTTACCCTCCCTCTCCCCTCCCCCACATGAGTGGCAACAGCCTGTCACAGCCAGAAGCACTAGAGCCCCCTCTGTCTTGTTTGATTCTGGTGTCGTCTTAGAATCTTTCTTTTCAGCCTTATTGAAATTTAGCAGTATTTCTTCTGACCTCAACTTTGTAACATATAACATGCTTTTGCAGGTAAAAGAAAATGTCCTTATATGCATTAGTACGTGCTTGGCCCACAGATACAATAAAGCAGAAATAATATTACTGCAAATTTAGAGAGATGCCCACATTATCCACATACTCCCCTAATCCTCATGTGGCTCTGTAATTGGAATAACTTTTATTTTCCTCGAGTT